ATTATTAATAATAATAATAATTATTATTAATAGTTAGTACACTGCCGCTTCGGTCTTGTTCATTCTTGTTTTGGTGGCAGAGTCCAGACACTAGTCCTGTCCTGTCTTGTATGTTGTGCTCGGCTCGAGTCTTCTTGGGTCAAGCCCTCTTATCCTGTTCATCTTTTGTATGAGCGCTGTCTTGAGCCGTGTGGGCTATGGACATGCTCGGCATGTGTGTTTTGTTTGAGGCATGGTGTTTTCGTTCTCAGAACTCTAGTTGGTTTCAAATTCAGCTGGCGCTGCCGTATGTGAGTGCACGGTAAGTGTTTTATTTATTCATGCGCTCGTGTTTTGAGTTCTGTCTCGTCTTGGTGTTGTGTAGAGCAGTGGTTCTCAAACTGTTTTTCATCAAGTACCACCTCAGAAAAAAAAATCGTCTCTCCAAGTACCACCATAATGAGCAGTATTGAAATACGTAGCGTAGTAGAGCAAATTAAGCAACTACAGCTCTGCAGAGTTCAAAAACGTGGCAGATTAATTACTATTATTAGGGATATTTATTATTGTCAGCCACTTTAAACATTATAAATATTATGAACATTAAGACTGTACTATGCTTATATGTAAAACAAATAAAAAGATCAACATTTAAATTAAATTGTGCTTTTAAAAGTTAAAAATGGCAGGTTACAGTTCTTTAAAAGTAAAAAGAAAAGCACTGTACTTAAATGTAAAGTAGTAACATATAGTAGCCTATTCATAACACATGCAAATGTTGCCTGGACCTCATAAATACAGGCTATAGGTTGTCATATTCATATACAAATCATTTTGATAAATTTTAAATATATGTAGCATGTACATATGACATATTTGATTCCTCCGCGTACCACTAGAAGGAAGCTCCCGTGCCACTAGTGGTACACGTACCACAGTTTGAGAACCGCTGGTGTAGAGCGTGTGGCTCCATGTTGGCCGTGTGCTTTAGTGTTGTCTCATGTGAACACATGGTTAATAAGTTCTCTCATTGGCTGCATGTTCTAGTCCTGTTTTCATATGAGCACATGGTCTGTGTTGTCTCTTTTTGTCATGTAGTCTCCGGTCTATTGTCTAGTCTAACCCTCCTTGTTAACCCATTATTAGTTTATTATGTTCACCTGTTTGTTGCCAATTATTTTCCCCTTTAGCTCTCTCTTGTCTGCTGTCCTGTGTCAGTTCGTCGTCAATGCCTTTCCCTGTGTTCCTGCTCCAGTCATAACATGTAGTTTTTGACTTTTGGTATTTTTTTTTTCTCCCTTGGGACTGTTTTTGTTCTCATTTTTTATTTTATAAATAATAAATACACAATGTAGTTCTGCATTTAAGTCATCGCTTCTTTCCCCATTTAATATGACAGTACATATAATATATACCTCTTATATACGCATATTCTTAGATTGAGGTTTAAGCTTGACAAATACAACATGCCTTGTAATTGAGTAATAAGTACCACCTTTGTTTTTTTGGTCTGTTATAAGAAAGGACTCAGTTTAATAATGTATTAAACATCCAAAATGGGATTTATGAAGCTGGTGCAGCACTATTTTAATGTGCCAGTGAACTGGTGAGATATTTATAAGTCAGATCAAGTTTCCTTTAAAACCAAACATTCCCTGTCTTTTACAGCTGATCTAGGTTCAGTACGGTGTCAGTGTTCTGGAGCGTGTCAGAGTTTTCAGTATTCATGAGCCTCAGGACCACAATCCTGAAGTCTGTGAAAGCAGAGAAACTTGAGGCAGAGAAAGGCTGTAAAAATAGAGGAAAAGATGAGAATGTGAGCTGAAGTTACAGCGAGAGCGGGAGAACAAATATGAAAGACAAGAGCTGATGGCGGAGCAAGACTTTGAAGCTGAAACACCTGCAAACACACAAGAGCTGGAGCTCAGATCACCACTGACAGACACACACACACACGCACACACACACACACACACACACTCACGCACGAACGCACGCATGCACGCAAAGCTGATTCTAGAATTGCAGGTTCATTTCAGGCATTTTTCCATTCATATTCCTTAAGCTCATATGATTTATTGCAAATGTATAATGTTCACTAAACTGAACCCGTTATTGAATGTAAGATAATGCCAAATGCAATGCAAAACCTACCGTTCAACATTTTAACCACTAATAGATGTGACGACAACAAAGTTGATGACAACACAGTGTAAGATAGCAAAGTTGATCATGATAATAATGGATAGTAATAAAGTAGATCATAACAGAGTTGACGGTAACAAAGTTAACAGTAACAAAGTAAGTCAAAGCAGGGTGAATCAGCTTTCAGCCACTACGCCCCTCGCTGCTGGAATCAGCTTGCAGAAATTATCAGACGTGCTCCAACATTAGGCACATTCAAATCAAGACTGAACACACATCTGTTTAGCTGTGCCTTTACTGAATGAGCACTGTGCTGCGTCCCACAGATTGCACTATCATGTTTTTCTCTTCTTCTTCATTCTTTTATATTACATTTTACCCATTCTTATGTTTTTTTATGTTTTTTTATTATTTGTTTTTATTTTTATTTTACTTGTTTCTTTTATTCTTGTTTATGTAAAGCACTTTGAATTGCCACTGTGTATGAAATGTGCTATATAAATAAACTTGCCTTGCCTTGCCTTAACAGTGTCACAGTAAGAGAGTTGATGATAACAGTGTTGACGATAACAGTTGAAGGAAACAGAGTTGGTAGTAAGAGTTGACGATAACAGTTGACATTAACAGAGTTGACAGTAACACAGTTGATGATACAGAGGTGATGGTAACAGAATTGACGATACAGAGTTCAGAGTAACAGAGTTGACGATAAGAGAGTTAGCATTGACAAGGTTGAAAACAAAGTTGACGGCAACAGAGCTTTGATTTACAATATACAGTATGTTTACAATATACTGATGCCTGTTTTTCTGGGCTTTTTTATTTTTATTGTTCGACTAATATTGCCTTTTTAGCATAAGAAGAGGACAGAAACAAGCCAGACAGTGATGTGTGAACTGTGGAGCGGGCTAAATCTAAAAATAACATCAGCCATTTTTGTGTTTAGTGGACTTTTATTCTTGCCCTAGAGCTGTCCGAGCTATGAAGAAAAGTAAGAGATGCATCAAAGTTAGATTAAAAAAAAACAAAATGTACTTCTCTGTTAATCCGTCTGATTTTACAGTCAGTTTCTTTTGACCGCCCCCTGTCAAATTAAAGAATACCACAACAGCGAACACCTCTAGTATAAAAGCCTCGACTGCTTCTTGAGGTGCGCGCAGTCAGAGGAGGTCCACGACGCCAGGCAAAAGTATACATCAGGCTTAAGTGTCTATAGAGGATGAGAGAGCTCCAGAATTTCATCTGAAACATCTTCATTTGTGTTCTGAACCTAAACGAAGCTCTCAAAGGATTGAAACGACATGACACTGAGTAATTAATAACAGAATCTACATTTCTGGGTGAACTAACCCCTTAAATTCTTAAACGGCCAGTAAAGGTCATGATTTATTGCTGGTAATTCTTTTTTATCATGCGCTGGCGCAGCTGTCATGTTTCCTGGGGTACACTGAAGACAGACTCTGCTTCTGAACTGAACTCTGGCCTGTATTATAAGTCTGGAGTCTCCATAATAAAGTCAGAAAACACTGAAGCACTTCAGAGACGACACTGAGTGATGGCGCCGCGTGAGTCTGAATCAGGTGCTGCTCTCATCATCACTTCAATATTAATCATGAGCAGATCTCTCATCTGAAACCTGTGAGCAAGGATCACCGAGCTCCAAACACATTCATCATGCCATAATCACTGTAAAACACTCTCCGATTCATCCAGATCACTGTGCCTCAGTTACGAGATACTCAGCTGGAGAGATGCTTTTATTTATATACAGTGTTCAGCGTAAATGAGTGCACAGATCTTTCTGTTAAATTCACATCTTCTACATTTGGGCATATACACACACACCGGCCACTTTATTAGGTACACCTGTCGAACTGCTCGTTAATGCAAATTTCTAATCAGCCAATCACATGGCAGCAGCTCACTAAATCACAAAAGAAGATCTTCTGATGAATGTTGGAAACCTGTAACCATTGGCTTCTATAGTGGGGAAAAGCAAATACTACACTACCTGACCAAAGTCTTGTGGTGGATCCCAATTGTAAGAGCAACAGATACTAAACTGGACTTCTAGTTGATCATTTGGAAAAGTGTCAGAAGGTGGATTTCTCTGCATCTCAATAATCACAAACACTTTAGAAGACCTACTGGAATCCAACATGGAGCGAAGATTCTCACAGAAATCAGTCAAGTTTGGTGAAGGAGACATCATGGTTTGGGGTTTATTCAGTGCGAGAGATCAGCAACATCACCAGCCTGAGGTATCAAGACATCTGTGCTGCCTATTACATTACAAACCACAGGAGAGGGGCAATTCTCCAGCAGGATAGCGCTCCTGCTCATACTTCAGTCTCCACATCAAAGCTCCTGAAGGTCAAGCTGCTCCAGGATTGGCCAGCCCAGTCACCAGACATCAACATTATTGAGCTGATGAAGGAGGAGGTGTTAAAGATGAACACAGAGACTCTTGATGAACTCTGGGATCCTGCTGAAGCTTTCTTCTTCATTCCAGATGACTTTATTAATCAGTGATGTGAGTCATGTCAGAGATGTATGGATGCAGTCCTCCAAGCTCATGATGGAGTCAGACACAATATTCATTCTGTCTCCACTGCAGCAGGACTTTATATTCTATACTGGACATTATTGAAGGTTCAGTGATGAGACTTTAGTCTGAGCAGAGTCAGAGCGCACTGTCCTCATCAAATCAGTCAACATCAAGACATGATCAGATTTATTGAGCTCAAATCAGCAAAATCTAAAGGCCTTTACCTTTCATAGAGACACTTCTGACACCAGATCAGCAACTAGAAGAGCAGATATTATTTATTAAAACTTGGATAAGCCACAAGACTTTTGTCAGGTAGAGTATGGAAGTCAATGGTCACAGGTTTCCAGCATTCTTCAAAATATCTTCTTTTGTGTTCAACAGAAGACAACACTCATAAAGGATTGGGGGGGGGGGGATGGGGGGTAAATAGTGAGCAGGTTTCCATCTGTTTGGGTGAACTATCCCTTTAACTGCTGTAGCTTTTATCCCAGTATGTGGCATTATCCTGGTATTGAGCTAACCTGCAGAGATGCAAACAACTGTCACTGTTCACCGACTCTGCTGTTTCTCTATCAGCACTGCAGCTTCAGTGTGAACACAGCACACCTACACACAGATATCACACACTGACCTCACACACGCTCCTATGAATGTCACTTATGATA